TGTCTAAGTTAACATTGACATAATAACATTTAGTAAACATTCAGTTAACAATTATTTCTAAACTATTGTTACAAACATTTAAATAATTTACATTTAATTATTAAATGTATATTAATAAATAATTATTTCTATTTAATTATCCATCGTAGAGATCCTGGAATAATAAAGTATATCAAAAAAAGAAAGCTAATATATATAGAAAGAAACAAGAGAAAAAAACAGCTTATTATTGTATAATTCGTTATATAATTCATCTGTGAGTTTCATTTCAAACAAATTAAATTATCACTGTATTAAAATACTCGATACATTTATAAAATTAAACGTAACTTTCTTGTTTCTTTTTAACGATATTTCCGGCTACAACAGTCGTGAGTAAAGGCAATTTGATTTGTTTTTCCGCGGATGTGTTGCATGGTACCTTCACGTTGCAGCTTCTATTGCTGCTGTGTCTTCGCCAGAAGTCCGAGTGACTGCTACTGCAATTGGTCGACCCGGTCGTATAAGTACCCGTACGATCTGACGTTTTCTTCTTCTTCCTTTTGGCGAGTCCCAAACCGCATAACTTGAGAAAACCCTCCCTGAATTTGGTCGACATCAAATTATAGAGAATCGGATTAATCGCCGAATTCAAATATAGCATCACTCTGCAGAAATACAAAAGACTATAGTAGCCTTCGATTCCAAGCGAGACAACCATCTTGGGCGGCACGATAATGATCCAGAGGGTGAGAGCCTTGAAAGGTAATAAGCATAGGAAAAAACATAGCACCACCGTGGCCAGCATCATGACCACCTGTTTGCGATACTTGAGCAGATTGTTCGCCGGTCCACGACTTATCGCCGGATTCGCCATCAGGTGTCTGGCGATCACCGTGTATAACACTATTAGAATCAGTAAAGGGATCACGAAGAACACGAGGATCGTCGTCAGAATGAAGCCCGTCATCCAAGCCGTCGAAGCTGGTGTTGTACAAGTAGGTATGTACGTACCGTCGACATTCTCTTCTATCTCGTAGGTTACCATAAGCAGTATAGGACTAGAATGTGTTAAAAGATAGAGATCGATTATTGCGGATACATTCATCATATAGCAAAGTTCCAATAAATTACTATAATGTAACCATTGCTTGACACGCATAGCGTTTCTAAAATAGAATACTTTGCGACAGCTTGCAAAAAAATATCTTAGCGCAAATAAATTTCTGTTGTGCAAACTACATATTAAATAAACATCGTATTAATAACTTAAACAATTTATGAATGCCAAAGCAGGAAAAAGAATGATAAAATCATTTAACATAAGGTATTTACAATAATTTTATATATCTTTGTGCCTAAAATGTATAAGAAATATTCGTGTAACATTTAGTATAAGATTAGATTTCGTATCTGTTTAATTTGCAATACTAATAATGAGATCACTTAAAGTTGAAACTTTCTGAGCGCATCCATGCGGATTGTTCACTTCATTCTCGATCGTAGCTTTCACGAAAGTTCTCCAAGTTTAATATCTCACAGAATGTCGAAAGTTTTCTCGTACAAGTTTCAATCAATCTTTAGCACAACACTTTGTATTTACTTAATGTACCCCATATCCTTTTACAAAAAATATAATTTTTCGATATCTTCATGTTTTTTAATTATTATAAATATAATTATCCATTATTCCTATATCCTTTGTTAAAATAAATATAATTTTTCAATACTTCTAACATTTTCTTATAGCAAATGTAATTAAGAATCATAATCCTTTATATCTTTTAGCAACACGTACTCATTTTTTCAATATTTCTATATTCTTTTATAACAAGCATATCAAATTAAGCTGATTTCTCTGGTTTTGAAAGAAGTACGTTTAATGCTGATATTTTATTTAATATTCTAAAATTAATACATCTATATAATTATTTATTTATTTGAATGTAGAAATTATGAATCACAGTTGCCGCGTTATTGTAGTCGATCATAAAAAATTCGTTCAAT